GGGGGGGGGGGGGGGGGGGGGGGGGGGGGGGTACTCAGGGGGGTGTACTGGTGTACTCATAGTGGTGCATGCATGCCGTAGTCGTTTAACCAATGATCTCGCATCCCTACAAAGCCGGGGCGGAGCGATACGCCGGGGTTGTCACCGGAACCGGCCCTCACATAACCAAGCGCGAGGCGCGGTTAGGTATTCGGCGAGTCGCACGGCGGGGAAGGAAGGGGCTTGTTTGAAGAAGCAGTAAGCCTAGCACCGCCCCCCCAAACGTTCCTTCCGGTTCCCCCAGATCATGGCCATCAGCCTGTAGATTGTTGCCTGTGTTTGGCCTCACTGATGACTGACGAGTTCCCATTGGACAGCCGGTTCATACGGCCAATGCTAATGCTGCAATGCCATCAACAACAACAACAACAATCCTCACGGTGCCGCGGATCATGGTCTTTGGAATTGTTGCCTATGTCTGGCCTCACTGAAGACTTACGTACTTTCAATGGTCAGCCGGTTAATACGGCCAATGCTGATGCTACAATTCCATCCGCAACAACAACAACAGCAGCAACAACAACATCATCCTGTGCTCGTGTTGATACCGATAGCATCGACCGCGCTATCCGTCTGACCAATGACAAGGCCTCAGTCTCGGTGCGGATGTAAGAATCAGTACTGCTACGTGCTGCACAAACTATAAACAGCACTTACAATACCTCTACAAAACCGGCGAGCCCAACCCGCAATGAGCCCGTCCTATTGAAATCGGCCAGCCAGTTAGCGCCGTCGATGCTAGAATAGAAAAGGGATACCTAACGCACACCAAAAAACAAACAAACATACGCACTCCCAGGACAACGATGAACCGGGATACTGAACACACAAAAATATGACAAAACATATCTCCACGAAAACGGCGAATCCATGCCCACCATACAAAACAGACAACGTATGTACCGTTACGAAAACTTCGAATCCAAGCGGCAACGAGACTGGCGAAATTTTAATTTCATTGGTCAGCCGGGTACTGTGGCGGGCTCCATGCTAACAACAAATAGGGATACATGACACATAAAAAAAAGACCAAGCAAATGTACCTCCGCGAAAACGGTGAACCCAAGCCTCGTTTTGACTGACAAATGTTCATTGGCCAGCCGTGTAGCGCGATCGATGCAAATAACAAAAAGGACACATAAAATAAAATAAACAACCAACGAACCTCCACGAAAACGGTGAACCCAAAAGCCTTGTTTCGACTGACGAATGTTCTTTGGTAAGCCGGGTAGCACGATCGATGCCAAGAACAAATAGGGATACATAAAACAAACAAAAAAAAGCCGACGTACCTCCACGAAAACTGCGAATCCAAGCCGAGCAGCAGACGCGTTACTATTGGCGACCCTCCCCCCCCGACTCCCCCTGCTGCCGCCCCCGCCCCCGGTGTCGGCAGAAGGTCTCTGTCCCAGCCGCCGTCCCCCCCTGCGTGACGCGGATGCCCCCGTTACGGCCCCTCGATTCTCGTCGTTCGGGCCCCCTCGCGCTGCCGCTGGCGCGGCCTGAACACCGAGAAGCCAAGACAAAAACGCTCGGATTAAACAACAGAGCAATCTACCCTTGAAGTCGATCGTGTAAGCTGCTTGAGTACATACACAGAATGAATTCGATCGACGCCTACGGTGTTTTTTTCTCTTAACCATGAAAGGAGGGAGAGAACGAGCAAGCCGTCGACTTGGACCGCGTCCAGAAGTGACCTTGATTGTACCCGTTGGCACTAAAGCCGATTCGCTGGTGGGCCAGTGAGCGCGGCCGATGCCAATAAACGAAAAGATGGCCCACACACCGCAGGAGGAAGGCGGGGCGCAACGAAAAGAAAAGAACAAAAAAAGCCGCCCCCCGTCTGTGACAAGGCGGGAAGGGATATCGTTAGGATAGACAGACTAGGGAAGACATTTTTGAGCCACCTTTGGCAAAGTAGAAAGGAACGATTGGCCATCGGTGATCGGTCCTGTGGGAACAATGCTCCGTCCTCTCGAGGACGCGTGGTCAATGGT